AATCATGAAATGGTTTGGATTTTGTCAGATATATTTCTGTGTCAATGGAGATGATCACTTTTTTGTATTAATAATACGGTTATTACATTGATCGTTTTACTGTATGTTAGCTGTGAGATGACTCTACTTGTCATGGTGTATAATCCTTTTAATGTTCTGTTGGACTTGGTTGTTTAATGTTGTAAGAATTTTGCATCTTATATTTATAGGGATAGTGTAGTTTTCTTTTTTAGAGACCGTCTTGCTTGACACCCAGGTATGAGACAAGTGGCATCATTATTATGTCACAACACCTAAAACTCCTGGCTTCAAGTGATCCTCTCCTGCCTTAGCCTCCAAGTAGCTGGACTAGAGGTGTGCACCACCACGCCCACTGATATTTTCTATTTTTTAGTAGAGACAGGGTCTTGCTCTTGCTCAGGTTACCCCAACTCCTGACCTCAAGTGAACCTCCTGCCTTAGCCTCCCAGGAGGCTAGGCATTACAGGCATGAGCACTGCATCTGGCTCTTTGTTTTGAATAGATTTATATTATATTGGAAGTTAATATCCACCAGCCTCTCAAGATTGTTATCCAATACAAACAAATAAACAAAAATGGACTTATACAGAAAATCTTTTGAGAATTTAATGACAATATTTTGTTGCTTTAAACACCACCTACCATCTAAGAACAAACCATATTATAGTTATAAAATTTTGTGAATCACGTATCAGGTGCTTACTGATTATGTATGTTTAGAAATTCAAAGAATGCATTGAATGAAAGGATTATAATGTTAGGGAGATTTTAGTTACCCAGCATGTGTATGAAAACATTTTTAGCAGCAGTTTAAGAAAAACAATATCTCCTTGGAAGTATTTAACAGATATAAATTTAACTTTTGGCTAGCCTTAATTACTTCTTAAGCTAGAACTTGAGCACAGGGGCAAGTCCCAAAGCAAACACTTTATAACATAAATGAGTCAATGTTCAGATATTCAAAATTTTAGACTCTTCCATATTTAAAAGAGGTAATCCACAAATATTGTACTAAATACACCATTCTTTTCAGCTGTTTGTACATTTGGATAAGTCCTTGCAAACTCTTTATAAAGATATATAATTTGTGAAGAACTATGATACATTCACAAATGTATTTGCCCATTTCTATTTGATTTTCTATGTGTGGCATTGAGTAATAGAGTGATTAATAAACTTAGCACACTTAAAAAGGTTTTTCTTTCAGAATGTGCTTTTTGTACGAGATGCATGCAGATTCAACATTATTTCTTATAATACATTACAAAAGAAACACAAATGTAGTACAATAAGTCCGTAATTTTAGTAAGTTTTTAAGTTTTGCATTTGTAACAAGAAGTTCAGAACTGGGAGAAAGAATGGCATAATAAACACAAAAATGTAAAAAAGATTTTAAGACTTTTCTATGTTGTATTTGGTAAAAGGTGACGATTGATTATTTGTGGAACCAATTAAAGCGGTTGTATAGAGGTCTAATAGCTAAAGAATCCAAACTTAGCTAGGCAAATCGCCCTAGGACGTTGTACATAAATGGTACACATGTTATGATGGGGGAAATGTTAACCAGTGCAGTAGAATAAAGATTGATTAAGTATGGAAATTTATCTCCACCCAAGCACTATGGTATGTTCAGGCTGAAAACTTGTGTTCTAATATGGCATACAAAAGACAAGACCATCACTAAGTAACAGAAAATTGTACTGTGTTGGCAATCAATCCACAGCTCAAATATCCCAATAGATGTAGAGGAATATCAAGATATTAGAGAAGTTTTGTTTGAGGGAGGATCAATGAAGTTGATTTTGTTGATTGTTTGGCAAGAACGGTGAAATTAGGAAATCTTTAAAAATTAGTATGAAATTGCAGTACATGTGTTTTCCCCTCATTATGCCTCATGATGGAGTTTGAGGGAGGAATTACCTTATTTTTCATTGGGAAAATCATAACTGGACAATTTGACTGTTTCCAAGTTCACATGCTAGAATAATTTCCTGATTGCTAGTCAGACCATTGTACAGAAGTTTAGCCTTAGCTACTCTTCTCGTATTAACACAGTCACCTATACAATCTCATCTCCTTCTCGTATACGTTGCAGTACACAAGCAACCACCGACAAGTGACACACAGTAATCACATATAGATTTATACCCACTATAGGGAATGTACATATCTTTGACCCTTAGACAGATAACATGCAAGTGACCTAGCGTTTATTATTTAAACGATATATTGAAAATGATGACTTCAGAACATAATATAAAAAACAAATCTATGACATTGGACTTTCGATGGAAGCTAATACAAATCAGTTTTCAATGCTGTTGAAAGTGTGTATGTTTGTGATCATTCCAATTTTGATCCATGTAGCTTTTCAGAAGGATCTAAGGGATTGTTTGTTTTTGTCTATTTATGATTTAAGAGATTACCCATTTTTGCTGTTCTAATATATTTTGCTGATTTGTTTCACGACTGATTAAACAATGTTTCTTTCACGGAGTAGAGACAATTGTATTAAAAAACTCTAGGCTTTTCCTGTCCGTTGCTCTTATATATTTAAGGAAGACGCAAAGTGTGGAAGCAAGACAAGTTGGTTAAACGTTTATCCCATAGAGGTGACAAAATCAATATACTCGTAGAGGGCCGCGCTGTGCTTCACGCCTCGTAATCCTAGCTCGGGAGCGCCGAGGGGGCGATTGCTCAGGTCAGGAGTTCAAACCAGCCTGAGGCAGAGGAGACCCCGTCTCTCTATAAATAGAAAGAATTAATTGGCCAACCAATATATATGAAAAAAATAGCCGGGCATGTGGGGCGCATGCCTGTAGTCCCAGTATCGGGAGCTGAGGCAGGAGGATCGCTTGAGCCCAGGAGTTTGAGGTTTGCTGGAGCTAGGCTGACGCCACGGCACTCACTCTAGCCTGGAACAACAGAAGGAGACTCTGTCCAAAAAAAAAAAAAAAAAAAATTGACCTAGAGCTTAAATCTAGCCCAAAAGCTTCTCTAAGCAATTCTGGTAGAGGGTGTTGTAAAGGCCAGGGAATCTAATACTTGGAGAAACACCGCTAATTGGTTAACAACTCAACTATATAAAACTTAATTACTTGACTACTTAGTAAGTTAATGGGGTGATTGAATTCTTGTTTTTTTTTTTGGAGACAGAGTCTCCGTTGTTGCCAAGGCGTAGAGTGAGGTGCCGTGGCGTGATGACTGTCCATCGAGCAAACCTCAAAACTTCCTGGGCTCAACGATACCTCCTGGCCTCAGCCTCCAGTGCTTATCATGATAGTCTAAATGTTTCCAGGTATCTTTTTTAATGCTGGGGAAGCGAATACAGGTCAATGCTGTCCTATCCGGGGAAAAGATTGCCCGGTAATATTGTCGTTAATGAGGATATCTATTAGTTGGCGAATTAATTCTTTCGACAATGATTTATAGGTAGAGACGAGTTCAACTCTTGCTCAGGCTGGTTCAGGACTCACTGACCTTGAGCAAGCCCCCGTCTCGGCGCAGAAGCTAGGGATTATCAGGCCTATGAGCCACTGTAAAATATCCCACTTCGGCCGCGTGATCTTTAACATATTATCTTTCTACAATTCCGTAGGAATAGACTTCCGAGGAATAACTATAGTAAGAGTTTCATCGCGTACAAGAAGCTAACTCTACATGGCAATATTGATATCAGAGAGTGGCAACTAAGAAACAGGAGGCATTATTCGTCTTTCCAATAAACAGACCATTACTGAAGAGCATCACAGGTAAAGTCTAGGAAGTTAGTGAATCAATAAAGAAAATACACCAATTCCTTTAACTGTATTGTCTTGTTCAGTTGACACTTATTCTACTGAAGGTTGATAGACTCTTTTAAAGTATAGTTCTGGTCTCATCTGTAAAAAAAATTAGTAAGGAAGCTGAGGGGCGGACTAACGCCCAGGGTGCAATCCTAGCACCTTCTGGGAGCCAGATTGGGCGACTGTTTCAGCTCATGAATAGCAGATCAGATGATATCGAAAACTCTAAGCCTGAGCAAGAGTGAGACCTTCTCGCCCTCATCTCCTAGATAGAATGTAATGAAAATGATTCAGGCCATTTACAACATATAAAAATAGAGTAATAGTAATGATATGCGAGAGAGCCGGGCGAGTTGTTGGCCATGGCCTGTAGCCAGTACCGAAGGGAGGCTGAGCAGGTTGTTTAGAGGTGAGGCCAGAGTAGTTATGACGTAAGGCTGCGTAGAGCCCATGAAGAACTTGACAACCTACAAGCTGGTCCAACTGCTCACTCGGATAACCTGGTGTACAGTGCTATAAAGAAGAGACATAACTGTATCTCATATTCACTGAAAAGAAAAGAAAAAGAAACTAATGTTTTTCCAACAACATAATATGATATAAAAGATTAATATTGAGATAGTAGATGTTTGTAAGTAAAGTGCTTATAACACTATGCAAATAAATTAACTTTTTTATATTGAGGAGAACCTGATACTTGAGTCTCAAACATTAATGCAAAGAGAATAATTGAATTGCTCAATTAATAATTTATCGCTGCTACCAGCCAATAAATGTGTATTGTAGTGCTCAAGAGAAAATATCAAATACTAAGATACCACTCGCATAGGAATAGCTTGAGTCCTTTAATCAGATTACTAATGTGGTCAAATATAAAACAATCCTTAACCAAGAGGGAAAAACATACCAGTTTCCTTCTAATGATCGGACGTGTTAAACACATTCAGGATGGGCGTACCTTCCCCGGTACTTCAGTCAATTGACTTTTTGCCTCTATTTCCTGTATATGAATATCTTAGACAAAGATAGATCTTGCTTCTTTTTTTCCTTCAGTTCTTGCTGTTGTTCCTTTCGGAGAAGAGAGGCAATAGAAGACTGTTGTCACTGGGTTCCAGGTCATGGATTAGTGCAATGGAAGTCATTGAAATCCTTTTGTATGTGACTGTCATCTCCAGTGACCTTCTGTCTTTCCAGGTCACTTACTTCAGCCTCTGGTACCACAATAAGCAAAATCAGCGCCGGTGGGTAGATTTGGAAAAACCTCTGAAGAAGCAGCTGGACAAATACGCGTTGGAACCTACCGTCTATTTTGGAGTGGTGTTTTATGTGCCTTCAGTGTCGCAGCTGCAGCAGGAGATTACCAGGTGAGAAATTGTGTGCATTTGTTTTTAGGAAACAATCTAGTGAGATTAAAAAAGTGAAACTAAGGTCAAAGTCAAGGAGGTTAAAGTCTGAAACTTTGCCCTCCCGCACCACATTTTTACTACCTTATTACAAGGAGGTTCTGCTATGTGGCATGTCAGAGTGTTTTACTGCATGTCAGATGAGTTATGGGCTCATTAGGCATGAAGGTATCATTAAAAGGAAAAACGATGTTTTTACCCCGGCTGTGAACTCCTCTTGTAGTGATGTCACCTGCCGTATTTTATTGCTTTGTTTCTGATCCTTTGTAACAAGGAAATGAGAGAGGAGATTAAAAATTAAAGTCATAAAATCTGGTCATTCCTCAAGGAAATGTGCCAAAAGGTTCTTAGATTTCTCTGACTCCAGTAGCTATAATCTGTGGACAGGTGGGAGAGGAAATTTGTAGGGGAGGGAAGACAGAGAAAGAGAGAGGGGGGAGGTGTTTAAGATGAGAAAATTTTGGCTAGTAAGTGCCCTTAACAGGGACAAAAAGCAGAAAGGGAAGATGACACTAAGGAGCAGGATAGAGGAACTAAATGTTCTCCCCCCACCCCCACTCCCCAAGATAAGACAAAAAACAATCCATTAAAATTTAAATTCTTGAGCCTGCCTTTCAAAGTTCTCCAAAGTAGTCAGATCTATTTAGCCCCACTTAACGTTACTTTTGAGCCAAGCTGGACTACTTCCAGGCCCTGGATGTGCCACATGCCTTTTTGTCTTTGTGTCCTCGATCTTTCCCATGTGTTTATTTACTGGAATACTGTTCATCTTCTGAGTTGTAGTTCAGAAGGTACCTTCTCCACGAAGCATCTGTGACTTCCAGGCTGGAATGAAGTTTACCTTCTCCAAACTGTCCTAGAATTCGCTTGCACTTGTGTTAAGATGGCCTGTCATAGCCTCTCATTATGGTTGTATACATCTCTTATCTTTTCCCTTGATTGATTGATTGATTATTTATTTATTTATTTATTTGACAGAGTCTCACTCTTGCCCAGGCTAGAGTGCTGTGGCGTCAGCCCAGCTCACAGCAACCTCAAACTCTTGGCTCAAGCGATCCTTCTGCCTCAGCCTCCCGAGTAGCTGGGACTATAGGCATGTGCCACCAAGCCCGGCTAAATTTTTTTTTCTATATAGTTTTAGTTGGCCAATTAATTTCTTTCTATTTTTAGTAGAGACAGGGTCTCGCTCTTGCTAAGGCTGGTTTTGAACTCCTGACCTTGAGCTATCCTCCCACCTCTGCCTCCGAGAGTGTTAGGATTACAGGCGTGAGCCACCGCGCCCGGCCTTCCCTAGATTTTAAATCCATGTTTTCTTTAGCTTTACTTTTCTCATGCTATCTAACATAATGCCCTGCAGATAGTAAGAACTTGGTACTGCCCCATGTTTGTGGAATGCTGTTTAAGACTGCTGGTTACTTATTAGAAGAGGATGGAAAACCAAAGCAGCAAGGATCAGGTGGTAGGGATAAGCACAAACTGACTGAAGTAAGTCTGAAGTATAAACACAGAAGAGAGAAGTGGAAGCCAGAAGGAAACACCCTGAGCTAATCACCTCAACTCATTTAAACATTTAGTAAAGATATGATATTGATCTAAGAACTGTATTAGCCACAGTGGAAGGCGAATACACAAGTGAATACGTTTTAATATTAGCCAGGTGGAGTTGCTCATAGTATGGTGGAACTGGCAGTTCATATAAATAAATAATTATAGTATCCTATGATAATAAATGATTTTATTATTAATAAAGCTCTGGATTCCTAGGGATAGTACAAGGGTAACCTGAACAGGGAAGGTAAAGAAGGTGATTTTTTTTTGATAGTCTGGCTCTGTTGCCCTGGGCTAGAGTACCGTGGCATCAGCCCAGGTCATAGCAACCTCAAACTCCTGGGCTCAAGTGATCCTCCTGCTTCAGCCTCCTGAGTAGCTGGGACTATAGACGAGCACCACCAAGCTTGGCTAATTTTTTCTATTTTTAGCAGAGATGGGGTCTTGCTTCTTGCTCAGGTTGGTCTGGAACTCCTGACTTCAGGTGATCCTCCTGCCTCGGACTCCCAGAGTGCTAAGATTACAGGCATGAGCCACCATGCTTGGCCTACAAGAAGCTGATTCTTTTGATTGACTTTAGAAGGAATTTTCTAGAGGGAATAGTTTGTGCAAAGCAGGGGTAATAAAATGGCGGTGTGTGTTCAGGGAGTTTCAGATACTACCTAGAGAGGGGAGAGGAAGTTTAAAAAATAGGCATTAGTAATAAAGTCATAGGACAATAAGGAAGACATTTTTGAATTTTAGTGGAATGGGATGATCAAATTTGATTTTATGAAGAACACCTATCATGGGAAGCTCTTAGAGGTGGCAAGACTATAGGCAGGATACCAGTTAGTAATGTCCGTGCCATAATCTAGGCATTAGTCCAGATTGTAGACCTGAGCAAAGGTGTTAGCCAGGTAGAAAGACAATAGGCTTACTAGATTCAATCACAGGATTGCTCATTAATTAGGTGTAGAAGAACCTGACAGGTCGTATCAGTAAGGATTAAGTATGGCTATATATAACAATAAAACTCTAAGTATCATTGACTTACATAAGAGAAGTCCAGAGGTCAGCCATGCAGAGCTTGTATCACAGCTCCTCAGAGTCTTCAAGGACCCTTGTTCTTTCTCTTACTGTACCATCATCCCCATCTTCAATTCATTAGGTTACCTCATAGTCCAGGGCAGGGGTCCTCAAACTTTTTAAACAGGGGGCCAGTTCACTGTCCCTCAGACCATTGGAGAGTGCACACTGTGGGCCCGGGATGAGTCAGCTGCTAAGCAGGACAGGCAGTGGTGGCAAAAACACCCGGAGGGCTGGATAAATGTGCTAGGTGGCCTGTAGGTGGCCTGTAGGCCATAGTTTGAGGACGCCTGGTCCAGGGTATCTAGAGATGTTTTAACTGTCACTTCCATAGAGTCCGAAAGCAGATCAGTGGTTTCCTAGGAAGAGCGGGCCAAGAACGCTCCTCTAAGGCAAATTCTGTAGAGGGGTCCAGGGATAGCATACTTGCGACGAAACCACTGGCTTTCGGGATTTAACACAAATAAAAATACCTACTTAGTAAACGTTACAATGGTGCGTGGATTTAAAATCTTTTTTTTTTTTTTTAGACCAGAGTTCTCCCTTGTTGCGCCCAGGGCTAGAGTGAGCTGGCCCATGGGCGTCAGCCTAGCTCACCAGGGGGCAACCCCCCCCCCCCCTCAGGACTCCTGCGTCTCAAAGCCAATCCTCGCTGGCCTCAGCCTCCAGAGTAGCTGGACTATAGGCATGTGCCACCAGCCCGGCTAATTTTTTTTTCTATTATGTTTAGTTGGCCAATTAATTTCTTTCTAAATTATAGTAAGGACGAGGTCGCACTCGTTGCTCAGCTGGGTTTCGAACAACTCCCTCGACTGACCTTGAGCAAATCCCGCCCGTCTCGGCCTCCCAGAGACTAGGATTACAGGCATGAAAGCCCACCACGCCCGGGCCGGTGATTTAATCTTTGATCTTCTCTTTACCAATTTCTTGGAATAGGAACTGTCCGGTATATAAGTAAAATGTTTTTTCAGAATCATTCCATGCATATGTGATGAACTCGAGTGGCAACTAAGGAAAAACAGGAGAATATTCGTCTTTTCGCTTAAACAGAATTTTACTGAACTCCACAGTTAATTCTAAGAGTTTCGGATTTATAAAAAGGAAATTCCGGACACACCATCCTTACTTTTGTTGAAATTTATTTGATAGGGGGCACCATTTAAGTATAGTTCTTCTCATGTACAAAAAAAATTATTTAAGAAGGGCTGGGCCCGCGGTGGGCCGTCCCACCGGTCCCGTAAAATCCTAGCACTCTGGCGAGGCCGACGGGGGGCGGAATTTGCTCGAGTCAGGGAGTTCGAAACTCAGGCCTGAGCAAGAGGTGGAGACCCCCGTCTCTCCTAATAAATAGAAAGAAATGAATTGGAAACTAAGTGCTCAGATTATATAGAAAAAAATGAGCGGGCTATTGTGGCGGAGCCATGCCTGTAGTCCCAGCTACTTCAGGAGGCTGAGGGCAGTAGATGGCTTGAGGGCCCAGGAGTTGAGCGTTGGCTGGGGAGCTAGCGCTGACGGCCAAGGGCACTCACTCTACGGGCCTGGGCAACAACAAAAGAGAGACCCTCTGTCTCAAAAAAAAAAAAAAAAACTTAGTATATAATATACTGGATAAAATTAATATGAGAAGTATGTATGTATAACTTTTCCCTTGGCAAATTAAGAATTATATTTTTTATTTTGAGAATTACTGCCGTCAAAGAAATGGCAAAGTAATTAGCTTTCTCAGCTTTCTATTTTGCTCTAAAAGCGTGATATTTCCATACCAATAGCCACTAGATACTTGCCAGCTCTTACAGTTCAGTTAAAAATATATAACATAAAAACAATACAGTTCCTCAGTGGCTAACTTGATAACACATTTCAGGTGGCTCAGTAGCCACATGGGGCTAGCGACTGGCTTATCAAAGGACAGTGCATGATATAGATCATTTTCATCATTGCACAAAGTTCTATTGACAGTGCTTGCCTTTAAAATCCCAAATACAGGCAGTTATTTAGTGATTTTTTCCATATTGTATGGATCTATAAATTGGGATTTTGAAGTAACGTATAGGCAAGTGGCTTGAGGTTTCATTTCAGCGCTCCTAAGTGCATTAATACCCCTTTTCAGTTGACCCCAGGGTCCCAGGGCTAAGTATTAATTTACCCTTAAAAGTTCTCCATATACGGCCAAGTGAGATCTAAATGCTAATAAACCTGGGGGTATTGTTTTTAAAAACCTCTTTGAGTAATACACTTCATGTTATCTTGCGCCCAGTTCCATTTAGTCATAGCGCTTTATCATGTTTGTGTGTGTGTATGTCTCTGGGTGTGGGCTGGAGAGAAGAATGAAATTCAACCTGGTA